TCTCCTTGCGATCGTATAGTCTCGTGCGAGAACTTGTGAGAAAAAAGCTAGGATTCGCGAAGAGGATAGGTAATTCGGAACGAGTATCAATTTCGATAAAGTAGAAGATGATAATGACAACGATAATGATTATAATTATAATAGTGACAATGGTGATGATGATAATGATGATGACACTGATAACAATTACAGAGATGGCGACGATGGTGAAGATTATCAAAATCATCATCGTCACCATCATCGCCACTACCACCACCACTATCAAGACGATAATGACGATAATGACGAGACAGTGAATATGATGATCGAGATTGCCACTGATGCGTGAAAACTGTAGAAAGAAAGAAAAAGAAAGAGAGGGAAGGGAGTGAAGAAGGAAAAAAAATTGAGAAGAGAGAGATGAGAAGGAGAAAAAGAAGAGTGGAAGAGAGTACCATTATGAAAGGATAGTGAATATGATTTATGCGATAATTCATAATGGTGATCGTTATACTCATCAATGATGATGGAAGATGTACGACCCATTGGCTTCGTGATTGCATCATTGAAATGCCTCGAAAGCTGCAGTAATCTCTTAAGCATACATTTGTCAATATTGTATATTAATAATTTTGTCGTTAATTTACACCAATGGATTATGAAAGGATGATAATGGATGTATAATTGATTAACGACATAATGATGTCTTAGATAATTAACATTGCAGATTACATTGAATAATGAATCACTAGATGACAGCTGTATTTAAAAAGTTGTAGCATACACAATGTTTGGAATACATATACAATTTAAGTCTCGTTTTAAATTTTTCTCATTAGATCGATTTCTCATTATATCGATTTTTATTATATTTTCTTAATCTCAAAATTTATTTCAAGTTTGTTTTAAATCTTATTATTTGTTATACTTAACGTTGCAATAAGAATTTAGCATAACTATATAAGACAAAAAATATAATAAAGTATAGAATAAAAATAATTAACATTATACACCAAAAACAATGCCTAAGTAAATATGATTACCTATCTTATTCTTCGTACGAATAAAAACAATTATATTTAAAAAAATTTAGTAGTATAAATAATAAAAAAACGATTTATCTAATATTTTTATTGTAATTAATAAAAAATATGTTACACATATTTGTATTATTAAAAAATGTTTAAATGATAATAAATTTTGTGAACAATAGCATGAGATATAATGGATTTGATGGACGATATGGAATCGATGTGGGAAACTGTATCAACATGATTCGTCACAGGTTGAAAACAGGATTTTCTCGCCTAATCGCAAAGGACTACGAAGGCGAATAATACATCGCACAAATAATTTTCATACAGTATCTATCGATATAACTACCGATTACTAGATGAGGGTTTTAAAGGCAGAGGCAAAGAAATAGAAACAAATAGACAGAACTATCATGCATCTGCCTAAACATTAATGACGACGCAATTATAATAATTGACGCTCACCGCATTTCAAACGCTTTTATGCATTTATGAATACATTTTCAAAATATTCTTAGCATAAAAATAGATATAATCAAATGTCTCGACAAATGAAACTTAAATCATTTAAGTTTTTACTCTTATTACTTACTTCCTGACGCATATATAATTCAGCGTTTTAATTCTACATATAAAATAATTCGCTTCATATAACTCTTACAGAGAGAAAATTAAATATAAAAATTTAATATATCTCTCAGCACAGTACGACATTATTATTTCTAGACACTTTTAAAACAAAAGATTTTTTTTATTACAATACATTGTAGCAAATAGAATAACAAAGAAACAGCTGAACAAAGTAACAGCTATATAAATAAATCTCGCGAGCGGTGAGCATCTCTGGCGTACGAGTATAATTGTACAAGTATAATAATTATGTACGACGAACGTTTGACGTTTTTGAGGCCGACAAGAGCAGACAGCAGTCCAAAAGGTCATAATAATATAGATATATATGTAAATACTCTATCCAAATCCAGTTTATGCACGAAAATGCAAAGGGGACTCGATTGACAGATTACGAGCTCTAATCGATTCAGGAAAAGATCCCCTTAGGATAAAACCGACTGAGAATACTTCCGATAACTAACGCAAAACGTAATTTTCAATTTACGTTACTTACTCGGTCGTGGATGTCTTTCGGGCTCGCCACTCTTCTCCTTGTGCTCCTTATCCTTGTCTTTCATCTCTTTTTCTTTTTCCTTGACAAAAGAAAGCAAATTCCTTGATACATCCGTTCCGACTGATTTCGGCAATATTGAAATTTCCTCCATATGATTTCATAGATATCAATATGAATATATATATATATATATATATGTGTGCACGCGTGTGTATATATAAAAGATATTTCTTCTAAAATACGTGTTTTTTCCCTTTTCAAAATTTCTTCAATGCATAAATACAATTAATTGGAATGCAATATGTCTTATACATATACAATAATAATTATGATGTGTTACAAATAATACTTTTTAATTCTAAGTGTTCTTTATGCATCAGTAATATACCTTAGCATCCTTGGTAACAGACGGTGCGCGGGGAGGCTGACGTTTAGGCGATCTGCGATCGGTGACGGTCGGTCCGAGGCTCTGCGAGCGTCCGGTTCTCGGACTATTTTTCGGACTGGACTTGGTTCGTGGTTGAATCTCGTCCCGATGCTCCTTAACATCATCACGTCGCCGTGGTATCACGGGCTCCAGTTTCTCTCTCGTTGGAGAGGGAAGCAGTGCACCGTCACCTTGAATGACATTTTTTCAAAACAATTTATAAAAATATGAGGAAGAAAATATAATGTTTATATGCATATATAATTTATTCGTTTGTTGATAATAATCAAATAAATTATGGATAGATATAAATATAGATTATCTTCGACAAGACAATAAAGAATGTGTAATTATTATTTTGTTGTTATATTAATTTTATTTATGTATGAACCACGTACCCACACCAGTTGTACGATCAAGATGGTGGCGAATCAAGAAATCCTTTCTTGCGCGAGCAATGGCTCGATCAGTATCCTACAACAAAATTGTATTAGAAATATAATTAGGTGTATTGTGTTGTTTCACGTACTTTAGTAAAAGTTTTACTACTTTATAAATAACAAGCTAACGAGAATTCGCAAGCATATCCAAATTTTTAAGAATCCAATTATTGGCCTTTTTAATAATATTTACTTTTATAAATATTATACATATTTCTTTGCATTATATGATACTGAAAATAATGGAATTTTCCTGAAGTTAAATTTATTTCATTCTATTCATAATATAAAATAATTGTACAAAATATAAAATAATTGAGCTATAGTTTCAGTAACTTTCCCAATTATTATCCTACATATATACCCTTCGTTAATTCAAACAGTTAATAAACGATAACAATATTGATTTATCTATATGACTGAAATTTTTCTTAAAAAAAAAGACGTTAATTTACAAAAGATAGCAATTGCAAAATAATAGTCGTGAACAATAGTTTTAAGATCAAAAAGAGAAAAAAATAATAATCCTTGAATCTCATTTTAAAATAACGAAAAAATCAGTTGCATCGTCTCGAATTCTCGACTTCAAGATACTTCGATAATGTTCAATAGAAACCGATTCTATAAGAGGATAAACTATTCCATAGGATATTTGCGTACTGTCTTAGTGTCGTCTTGTATTATGCCGTGGATTGGTCTAGCTTGTACCGAGGATGGTCGACCCGCTGGTGGCATAATAGTGATCGGTGCGACCTTCCTCGTGTTCTCCTTTTCTTTCTCCTCTTTGGTGACCGACCTGAACAATTGATCAAAAAGAGATTCTATGACGATCATATCAAGCCGGTTATCGATTCGTTCGAATCGATAAAGTGAAACTAGCTAACTACGACGGAATCCGTGTGAAGGTGCGAGCACGCTCGAATTCTCACGAGTGCTCTTATTTATTTTGCGTGAATAACGCAAATCCGTGATAAACGACGTTTACGATCGCACAATGGATACAACGTGTGTGGACGACGTATGTAATTCAAAGCGAGGTGTTTGGTGCATTTATGGCCATCGAATATAAGAATTTCGAGTGATTTAAATGCAACTCTATTAAAGATTCATCTATTTAATGACGACCTTCAAAATGGCAGGTAGAATCAAGAGTGCAAGTTTCTTGAAACGATACACACGTGTGTTCAAAGTGCGTTCATGGTACAGTGTAGTTGAATTTGCACACATATTTCTAAAAATGTTTCGCGTTATTTCAAACTGAATTTCTTGTTTATGATCTATTTCATATTTTTGAAAAAAAAAAACCATGCAAAAATAAAAAAAAAACACGAATCCATAATAAACTTGATCGAGTATTTTAAATCTTCGTAGTATTTTAAAATGCTTATCATTATTAAATTGACAGTTAATTTAATTTGAAATATTATTTCAGCTTCAGTTTATGATTGCTTTTCAAGTCTGACAGTAATCGATGCGCATTTATTTAACTGAAAGATGTATATAATATTTATGTATATAATATTTACATAAAAATATGAACATCAAGATTCAGGCTCAACCGTAGCACTTTTTATTTACTTTTATTATTTACATTGCGGTCTAGTTTAACTTATTGTTCATCGACGAAATTTCCCAATAGTTAAAATTCGAAAGCAGAAATTCTGCTGAACGAACGTACATTTAAAACGAATAATTAATACTAGATATTCTACGACAGCAACATTTTCTGGCAAGTTATTACGCGATAACTAACTATGCATTTCCACAAAACATTTCGTTGATAAATTGATGTGAAAGAATGTATCGCAAAGAATGAATCGTGATTGTTAAACAACTCCAACAAACCAACAGACGTTGTTACGTAACAACGGTAGTGACAACGACAGTGACAACAACAGTAATAAAAACGAGTTTCTCGTTGGAAAATGATGGAGTATAGTGTACTGGCCTGGCAAGGGATAGGGCGTTGAGCGCGTGGTTACTGGAGACTCGTTTCCACAGCGAAGCTTCGTCCTCGGCTGCCAGACCGCAACCCCAGTCACGATGCTAACGCAAAGCAAAATGTATCAGCATCCATCCGTCTGTGTGTCTGTATTGTTATTTCCATGAACATCTAATCAAACTGAGTGACGCGGCGACACATTTTAAAAAAAGGGTAACACTAAAAACTGGTAACACTAAAAACGTCACATCGAGTCAATCAACATCAACTTTGATTAAGTCTCATTCTATCTTTAAACAAATTATCTTAAAATATTGTTTTTTTTTAATCTTCAGTAAAATATTTTCAAGAACATATATATTAAAATGAGATATTCAAAATAATGATGGTTATTTACTTCTTTTTTATCTTAATGTTCATTTTTTATAATAGACATTATTTTTATCACAATTCATAATGTATACTACATTTCATAAGTTTTGTAACAAAAGTTTTTATCAAATTCTTAAAAAAAAAAAATTGAAAATTTTAGCAAAATAGAAGTAAACTACTGCCACGAACTTAGTAATTTTATTTAATATAAAACTTGACGGAATTATTTCGGAATCGTTTTCGAACGAGTTGAACTGCATCCAATCTTTATAAAAAAAATTCATCTTTGAATTAGAATTTGCGTAATTAAAAATTCGGTTTTCATAGAATTCTACATAGTCAGCTTAATCAAAATTAATAAATCGATGACAATCAATGCTACATTAAGAAAACATACAAAACATGCTAGGAAGACACTAAAATACCTTGCTCAGACGATGAAATTTTGGGACAGCACTCTCGAAATCGCGGAAATCGATTTAGGATTAATTTCGAAGGGGGGTTTTCATTAAAAAATCACATTAAATAAAACAACCGACTAAATAAATAATTAATTGAGCGGTTTCTATAAAATATCTTGTGAGACGAGATATGATCGAAAACTATTTCACTTAAATATGTGTTGTTATTTAAAACAGACACTTAATTTGGCAGACTTGACTTTCGACTGGACTTTCGTTGTTACAGATGACATCACAGAAGAAAGGAGTTAAAACAAAACATGCAACCTCGACGACTGTCATGCCGATACACAAACACTGACAGATAAGCTCGACGACCCTAACAATCAGATCAATCGAGCAGTTAAACGCAAAACAAAGAGATCGAACGAAGGATTCACGTAAAGATGGATGAATACGACATGGGAAAACTGGCTTGAAATAAGAATTCGAATAAGAACCCGGTCTCCGATTTTAAAGCGACGAAACATCTCCCACGGATTACCTTGTACTCGTCAGCGAGTCGCCGGAGTTCGATCACTTCCGCCGTGGGAAATGGTCTTGCCTTTGATTTTTCCGGCACTTTATTGTCCGATATCCGCACGGCTCTACCTGACTTTTTACCCCTGCAAACAATCAAGTTTACGTGTAATGATCACGTAATCGTCGCGTTGTCGTCGCGTCTTCACACCGATCAAGATCGTCGTAGATGCCTTTTTTTACTTTCTGTTTCTTTTAAAATGTTTCCTCTTTCATGAAGATATCAAGTCTTTTTACGTGAAAAACCGTACATATCCGACTAACAATCTGACCTGAAAGCTACTTTCAAATCCGACAGATCCTCTTCGCGTTCATCGCCTTCTGGTACCACACCGTCGATCATGTCCGTTCCAGTGCCACCCACCAATGGCTCCAGTTCTGATGCTTGGACCCCTGGAGAATATACAGAAATACGCTGAATACGCTTTTGTGTCTATATGTGTGTGTGTATATAACATATAAGTGTGCAATATAATGAGATTAGTTTTCTTTCATAAGTATAATCGTTATATTTGATTTATTACATTATGACAACAAAATTCAAATAAACAAGTGCAAATTTCTGATATTGAAAAAATAATACTGATTATCATAACTTTCTCTCTCTCTCTCTCTCTCTCTCTCGCAAATAGCGATATATTGTAATCAAAAAACTTTATTCTACTCCACATTATCTATTATTCCGCCATTTTCTACGATTTAATGTTAAATTCTCTTTAACAAAAATGTTGAATAATAGAAAGAAAGACGAAAAGAAAAAAACAATAATTTTTAAAAGTTACAAAAATGTGATATTTGACAAATTCGAGACTCGCAACGCAGGATTCGAATTAATCCTGAAAACAATTTGTCGTGGCATTCGATAAGTACCATCGCGCTTGTGATCAAAGTCGCCGGGTCGTTTCTTGTGTACCGGCGCGGGTCCAGAAGGCACCATGCCCTGTTTAAGCGCACCCATGCTGAGCGACTTCCTCGGTGGACCTGTAGTACCTCCGGGAACCCCCGCAGCTGGAACCGGCGCCTGAGTTTCGCCATTTGTCAACTGCGGTCTTCTAGGCCAGGCAAACTGCAGCCGGTACTCAGTACTGATACGAGATATCGCCTTGCTAAGCTGACTTGGTGGCAGTGCCGACGTTGCTGTAACTTCCTATGATTTGAAGACCGATATTTCAAATTAAATTGACCTTTTTCTCCTAGAAATTGTCTTATTGCACTGAAATCTTATTGCATTGAAATCTTAGACATATAATTCATATATAAAAGTATTTATTTTATTTTGTACTCGTCAGATTGTATATACAGATGCTGTTATAAGTTATAAAGAATTACAAAGAGTTATTAATATATTTATCAACATTTCTTACCCGTACTTTATCAGCTACGACATTCGAGTCGATGGCGTCGATACCACCGCCATCCGCTGCCGTGATAAATTCGTGCGTCCTGTAAGCAAGCTCCGGACATTTCTTTCGCCTGGGCAATGGTGGTTCCAAGGTGGGTCCTGCAAAATTTACATAGTCCAGATCATAATCTCTTCCTTCTTTTCCGAAATTTGGAATGTTATTTCTTCGTCAGGTTTCTCGATTATATTTATTCAATTATATAACTGTATTAGAACTAACATTTCCAACTGTAATTTGATAAAAAATATCTTCTGTAAATTGTTTTAACAACATTTATTTAATCAGTTTCTCCTTTGAAAAAAAAGTAATAGAATCTTTTCAGATAATTAATAAAAAATTGATACTCTCGGGAATGAATCTATAAACTAATTACAATTTCCGATACAGAAAATTATTTATGTAATATTCACGCTTCCTTTAAATCCATCGTTCATTCCCCAAGTAATAATAATTTGTTAGTATACTCATACAAGTTTGCAAGTTTGTAACAGAAAATAATTTTTTACAATCGAGAAACCTTAAAGAAGTTTCAATCAACTTTCCAAGCATGATTGCATAAGCAAGATAAACACAGATGCCACTACATTAAAAAAGTCGCAGTAATAATAAAAATAAATATAACGAGAAATTGCGAGAGATCATTCTTGTGGCGTTTTAATATTAAACGAAATGATCTCTAGACCAGTATTTACTGGTGGAAAAAGAAAGCGGTTTTAAGCGACATGCAGGAAAATCTTGGGGAAGCAAGTGGAACATGACATCAAGCAATGATGATAAAAAATAGAAGTTGTACAATGAAGAAATTGAATATGTTCTTTGTGAAAAAACTTTTGCATCGATTTTATGATTCCAATGACGATAGGCGCGTTTGTTAATTTATCATTTTTGTGTGATTCATTCAAGCGCTTTGTTCACGTCTTGCACCCTCCGGTTTTCCTTCGTGCATAACAGCTTCTGCATAATAGCTTCTTAAAGGAGAGATAATTTAGTGACGAACAATGTAAGCAACTTATTTCATTCTTGCCTCCCCTATTAGCTGCTTAATAATCGGTTCTATGTAACCAAGATGATCAAAATTTCTATAAGCCTTTCTAATTAATTACTATTGACATTTATTTACTTTCGCGTGACAATGTTTTTATTATAGAACTCTCTTACAGAAAATTTCGCGTGATTAAAATTTGAATGAAAGACGTAACAAAATTTTATTTAAGGACGTTCTCCGAAAAAATCCATTTTCTTTAGATTTTTCTGAAACTTACAGAATAAGCTTGTTTTAGTGTCCTGAACATATGTGCTTTAAAACTCAATATCCGGAGCGGGATTAAAAATCGAAATATTCCACTTTAAAGTTGAAGCGTTTAAAATATATACATACACACATATATATATATACATACATACACAGGATCTTTATCTAAGGCTTATTCAAGTCTTTTTATTCACTGTGAAAAAGTTTTTTTTAACAATTTTTTAAAATAATAAGATATAAAACTTGATATCACAAGGAAATTTGTCTGAATATGGCTTCCGGTATTCATTTTTAAGAAAATCATTAAGTAAAGTAAGTAACACAGTAAATAAAGTCGCTATTTTTTCAACCGGCGACAAAAGACGGGAATTTACTATGAAAGTAGCAAAGACGGGAGGTATTTTATATTGTATAAAAAAACTTGTATAAAAACATTAATACTTATGGAATATCTTATATAATACTATATAAAAGTGAAATAAATTTTCATAAAAATTTTCATAATGGTGAGCACTAATGTGCTCATTAGGTTAAGCACAATTGCATTCGGAGAACGTCCTTAAATTTCAACTCTTAGTTTTATTCTCAACATAATACACGTACGATAACTAAACTAACTGCGACCTATGATTTTATTCTTTCAATTTTTATCGAGTTTATAAAGAATAATCACATGAAATCTCTTGTCATCTACTTGGTATTTATATGGTTTTGAATCAATATTTTTTATATAAAAAGAAATCTCATCTCTTACAAATTTTGTATAAAAATATTAAAATCTTTATTAATTATCTTTATTAATTTAAATTTGAAAAGATTTTTAAAGTTTCTTTTAATTTCTTGCTTAAAAACTGTAATGATCTCAACATTATATATTAAAAGACAAAATTAATCATTATCTTGGTTGACGTTGATAATACCAGAAACGGAAACTCAAAGTATGTGATATAATAAGCTTTCATTGAAATTAATTTAAAATGGAAGAGAGAAACAGAAAACTTGAAAAAGGAATAAATTTGCTTTATAAAAGTAAAAATTTGAAAAAAGCACATACATTAGCTTCATAGATCTCATAATGGCGACATAATGGCAAACATGACACTCTGCACACGTTTATCGCAACATATGTTATAAATAATCATTTCGCTGTTATTTGTATACGAGTCTCAGCAGCAAACACAACGGTATGAATCGCTCTGTATATCGTTTCGTTATTATCTCTCCGAGTTATATTTTTCCCAGTACAGACGGATAAACATTACAGCAGAAAAAAATCTTTCAAAAAAGAAAGAAGAACGTGATCAAATAGCATTATTACTCATGCAATTAATTAACTCCAGTGATTAGCGATTCGTTGTGTCGAAGCAACATTTTGTGCGGTTCATTTACTTGATGTAAGAATTAAGATTAGAAGTAAAGCATAATAATCGTATAAATTAAAATATAAAAATCGCATAATTATTAAATAATATATTTGCAGATATATTACCATAACGATGCTTGGATTATTTCACATCGTGTTTTGAATACTTCAAATACCTTTGAAACTATAAAATTTCATTCAAAATTTTAAACCTTTGGTTAAAAAACTTTTTTCTTATTTTTTACTATTTTAACAATATCCGCTTAAAAACATAAAAGTTGATTTTTAAGAGATATTTTAATCGTTTAATATGCGCGCTTATAAAAACATCTGCCTTTTTAAGGATACTTATAGAAATATATTTTTTATTTTAAGACTCTTATTTAAAATGCGTGCAATCTTATGTAAGTTACTTGCGTATGTTTCTTTGACAGTAAAAGTAATATAAAAATAAGAATAAATGATGGAAATGATTTTTGTTTATAAAAGAGGAATTGTCTTCGAGTTTGAAGATATAGATATGTGTAAATAAAATTTTATCTATAACTTTTTTCTCGAATTATTGTAAGTATTTCTAAAATTTTATGGTATGTACATGTATCACATTGTACATATATGTATATATATGTAATATTACGGAGTAACTACATAACATTTTAATTACATCAGGTTTCAATTTGCAGTTAAGTACAGACTCAGTTAATTTCTAATTAACATAATTATTAAACTGTCTGCATCTCTTCAAATAACGAAATTCTATTCTAAGTATAACCAATTTGGAATATACTTAATAATGAAAAATACTCGAGTATATTTTATACTCGGTTCTTGAAATCAGAATTCGAGTAAAAAATTATAAATACAAATCTCTTTAGGATACTTCTATTTCGATAACTATTTCGATAATGCAAATCATGTATTCGTATATTTTATTTAAAAGATGATCAAAAGACGCCTTTCGCGCCAATTATATTTTTCCATATTTTTCTTCTGGAGTTTTTTCTTTCGTTTTATGTACGAATTATTACGGTCAATATACTACTTAAACTAATACGTGATACATATGCCAAATATATAGTGATCTTTTCGAAAAACAAGGAAATAGATCACGTGTAAGGAGACACATAATAAGCGTGAGTCTCCCGGCATTGTGTATAAATCAAACCAGTCGCGTTTTATTTCCGTTTGCCGAGATACGTCGCAAAGAATACGTTCTACGTTCAACTGTATTATTTTTACAGTTCAATGTCGATGGCAGCGAGGTACATGTATAGAATCGATGTAATATGCTGTACTCTGTATACGTCAGTAAGTAGGCGTAGCCATTCAGTGCCGTTTTACCGACGTCTCTTACTCATAGTATGTCTTATTTACTGAACGGTTCAACGAACACGAACTAATGAAGCAAAGATCAAAGGAAATATAATTATATGACTCCATTTATTTCGATTTTAATCATTAAATATGATAAACATGATATGTTCTGCTAATTTAAACACTCCGATAAAAAAGTAGAAAGGTTTAAGAAAATTTCATTGTGAGTACAGAAACCTTTAAATAAATATTTCAATTAAATATGATTTATCAATATTCAGATATAAATTAAATTTTCGCCACAATAAGCTTCATTAAAAGTGATTGTAAAAACAGATTGTATTGCATTTCAGATCGATGCTAGAGAAAAAAATTACTAAAAAAAAAGCATTTGATTAAATAATCAAAATCCGAGTTAAATTCTTTTTATCGGTAAAAATTTACTACATAGATTAAAAATCAAACAGGATGTAAGAATGCGGGCTATCTTTGCTGCAAAAATTCAAAAATAATTGCTCTTTCACATATCTACACCCGCATTAAAAAGTAAAGCCAATTATCTTTCGATATTTTTTGTTAGAATTTCATTCTTACTAGCCGTTTAAATATATATAAAAAACGCAAAATTATAGCATAATACAACGTCAGAACAACATCGACTTTGTGTCACAGCAAACCGTATCCGTATCCGAATTCGGTTATGCGAAACATGGAAAATTCGAGCAACGCGCAATTGTAAATCTAAACCTCGTATTCGTTGATGCATCACAACTCAGCTTCGATCAGAATACTGTCGACGGCTGAGAGGATTTCCGTACCTATCAACAGCTGACGGTAAATGATAAGCCCGCAGTCTCAATAATGCTCCCTCTCTTTCCTCGATTCATCCGTAAATCAATTATATCGTCACGGCGTTCCATCGAATGCAATCGATTAAATGATTTTCAAATTATTTTGGAATATGTGTAATATTGTATAATTTATTGAATTTTGTAATTTTCAATAAAAAAATTTTGCAAATTTAATAGGTTTTTTAACACATCTGTATAAACTTCTAGTTTTTGTGTTAAAAAACCTATTAAATTTGCAAAAGTTTTTACTAAATATTCAATAATTATTACAAATGAAATCTTTCTACTCGTAAACTGTACTGTAAATAATGTATAATA